TTTTAAATTATATTATATTTAATATATAAAACAATAATAATAATTAATTATAAAATATTAATTATAAAAGAAATAATAATTAAGTTAATAAATTAATTAATTTATTATTAATTTATTATAAAAAAAGTAAAACCTTTAATTAATATAAAAGTTTATTTAAATTTAAATTAAAATATTAAAAAAAGCAAATAACTTAATTATAAAAATTATAATAATATAAAAGAAAAAAAAAAAAAAAGAAATTATGCCAAAAGTATTTTTTTTAAGTTAATTTAAATCAAGTTAAATTAAATTAAATTTATTATAAAAAAAATAAAGTTAATTATATTATAATTTTTATAATTTATAATTTTTATACTTTATATATTTATTATATATTTAATTTATTAATAAATATTATAATTAATTTTATTATTATATAAAATTATATAGTTAAAAAATAAGATTTAATAATTTAAAATACTTTTAAAAATAATTAATTTAATTTTAATAAATTATTTAAATTATATAATTATACAATCCAATTATATAATATACAATTTAAAATTAAAAATTAAAATAAATTGCTATATTACAAAAGACTTAATTTATTACTTAATAATACAATTTTTTTTTTAAAAAATTTAAGATTTAATTTTTAATTGTATTATTTTTATTATTTTTTTAACTTTTATTTTATAGGTTAAATTTAATTTTATAACTTTAATTAAATTTAAAAAAAAGATTAAATAAAGGTTATATATTAAATAATTTATTTAATTAAATGACTTTATTTAATTATATAACTTTATTTGATTAAATAACTAAAATCCTAGTATAAATACTTTTTATAATTACATATATCCATTTTATATAACTTTAATTATATTAAATATAAGTTATTCCTTTCATTTATAATATCACTTAAACCATGGTATTAAATTTAATATAAAAGTTTAATTTAAATCCAAAACTGATAACTTTGTTTAATAATTATTTAAAAATCTTTAATTTTTAATTTATTAACGTTAATTATAATATTTTTATTAATATTAAAATTAATATTTATATAATAATTTACGTAAATAATTTATTTATAATTAAAAAAAATATATAAATTATAAATAAAATTAAAATAATATTTAATAAACGTTTTTAAATAATAAATTTAAATTTTTACCAATATTATTTAAATATTAAAATTAAAAAATATAAAACAAATTAAATTATTTATTTAAACTAATAAAATTATATAAATAAAATATTTATATTATATAATATAAAAAAGTATAAAATAATTAATATTTTAATAAACGTTTTAAAATTATAATAAACCGAAAAAAATTATATTTATTTTAAAAATATTAAATAATAATATTAATTTATTATAAATTTATTAATATATTTAATAATAAATATAAAATTTAACATTATTTATATAATATTATATATTAATAAATATTTAATAAATTTTATATTAAAATATTAATAAACCGTAAAAAAGATTTTTTATTATTTATAAAATATTAAAAATTTATATTTAATATATTATAATAAATTAAAATTTTTTATAAAATATTTTAATATTAATTAAACTAATAACGTTAATATTTAAAAGTTTATTTTTAATTATATATTTAATTTTAATAATAAAATAATTAATTAATTATTAAAATATTAAATTAATATAACGTTATTATTTTATAAAATAAAATATATAAATTAAATATAAATTATTAAAAAAAATTTTTAATTTTAAAAACTATTTAAAAAATTTAATATAAACTTTAAAAAAAATAAAAACAATATTATAATTAAAATTAAATTTTACGCAAATATTATTTATTATAATAATTAAAATATTATTACATTAATTAAAAATTTAAAAAATTATAATAAAATTAAATATATTAATATTTAATAATATTTTATTAAAAAAAAATAATAAAAAAAATAATATAATTAAAATATATTTTAATAAATTAAATAATAATAAACGGTTTAATTAAATTATTTTTTTAAAAAGTTTTTTAAAAGTTTTAAAAAATATTAAAATTTGTTTTAATATTTAATAATTACGTTTAAAACAAAAAAAAATAATATTAAAATTATTTAAAATTAATAATAAAATTAAAAAATTAAATAATATAAAATATTAATAAAAACATTTTAAAAAATTAATAAAAATATTAAAATAATAAAATTAACAAAAATATATTAAAATTATAAAATTAATAAAAATATTAAAATTACAAAAATATAAAGTTAAAAAAAAATATAAATAAAATTATTTAAATATTTAATTTACAAAAATATAATATATTATATTTAAAAAAAAATAAAAAATTAATAATTAAAAATAACGTTAAAATTTAAAACATATAACAAATAATTTAAAACTAATATTAACTTTTTTAATAAATTTTAAATAAAAATATTAAAATAAATAATTAAAAAATTATTTTTAAGTATAATATATAATATTTTAATATAAAATGTATATATAAAAAAAATTCTTTTTTTCACTTATATAGTTGGTAAATTAAGTCAATATATAATTACAGTTTATATACCGTATCTTTTAGCAATATTTATCTTACTTAATAGGCCTAGTTTCTACCCATGGTCGATCAATCCTTGTATCAAGACTATTGATGCTCATCTATTGAGTTCTTCTATCAAAATGTTAGGGTTGGTCACTTAAGGATAGATACATAGGTATATAGAGGTAGGTATGTTAGCAAATTTTGGATCTTAGTACTCCTCATCCTCATCCTCTCACCTCTAGCCGGTACTTGTCCATAGCAATCAATATGCTCTCATACGTTATGTCGGCCCTCATTCTCGCAGCAGCAGCTTCCGCCGTGCCACAATATCCGCAACTAGGATGCAGAGAGCTCTCGATACCCGTCACCGTCAGTGTTCCGCGTTTCATTGTTAACGCAACGGTCAACGACAACTGGGATGCGATCGCTTTGACACTGGCCCTTACGAGGCGGGACTTTAGCGAAAACACAGATCCGTTACCGATTTCTGGTCAGACATCTGAGCCCGTAGAAAGCAAGTTCAAGGTTGGGGCAACACTATGCGGGAGAGGAGGTCCTACGGTGGTTCTGACTCACGGCATTCTAGAATCTAAGCTGTATGTCTCATTTCACCTCAAGTTGAAATTATGAGATTATACGCATAAGTGCTGATACCATCATAGGTATTGGCAGCCAACATTTAAGGCATCGGAGAAATACAATTTCGTTAAGGCTGCCGTCGCTGCTGGATATTCTGTCCTCAATTACGACCGTATCGGTGTAGGGTCATCCTCTAAGTAAGCACAGTCTATATCATTATGAGTGGAGGCCACGGTTTTACTGACTTATCTTCCTTATAATTAGGGTGGATGCACTCTCGGATGCCCAGTTCCAAGTAGAAGCGGCTGTACTTGACTCACTGGTAGACTACGCGCGATATGCTACGAATGCCACGAAAGTAGCACTTGTAGGCCACAGCTACGGGGCGTATCTGACAGTTGCATCCGCGGCTAGCAAAAAGACCGCTGTTGACGCCATCGTACTTACCGGTTTCGCGGGTGGCTTTAAGTATTTTGGCCCCTTTCTCGCTGGGTCTGGCTTCAGAGTCGCACGGATTCAAGACCCCATTCGCTGGGGCGCTTTGGACTCGGGATATCTCACATCGGCAGACCTCTTTGCTGAGACGTATTCGTACTTCGGAGAGGAAAATGATTTCGAGCGGCGGGTCGCCGAGTGGTCTTACTTCAAGGGTAGTGAGCCATTTGCCGTGGGCGAGTTACCATCCCTTATTGCGAGCAGTCCCCTCGACTTCGCAGGGGTCACGGCCCCTGTCCTCGCTATCCAAGGGCAATTCGATCTATCAGGCTGTGGTGGTAACTGCATCGGCCTCCTAGATGGCCTCAAGGACGACTTTGCTGGCGCTAAGGTCGTGAAGACTGTTGATAATCTACCCGCGGGGTAAGTTCTACTGCGTTCAAGGATTAATTACCTAATTCATGCTGACTCTAGTTCACAGGCATAACCTCAACCTACATAAGGTCGCCCCACAAGCATTTGAAACTATTTTCAGCTTTTTGAAAAGTCAAGGAGTGTAATGTCTACCGTCTATTCATCCTGAAGCGGCGTCTTGGAAGAATATCTGTAACTGTTAATTTTCGGCCTTTACTTTCTTTATAATTGTAGAATCGAGGATCGCTACCGCAAGAAGTGCGAACTATTAGGTTTAGGAAATTACTGTTGAGATTTATTTATATTTAGACGGCCTACAAGACCGGCAAGATAGACTTAGAGGGGAGGGTTCATTAGAACATTTAGCGTAATAAAATACTGGTAGTGTTTGAATAAAGACGATATTAATCAGGAGATACTATCATTCCATTAGGTACCTCTTTAAGAGATATACACACTGTAAGCAATAATCTGGCTTTCAACTTTCCAAGCTGCTTGGCTATCAAATATTATACAATCCTCCATACTAGATGGCTTTATACTAGATGGTTTTTTAAATCCGTTTCCCTGATCCCGCACCCTGCGGGTACTTTAATACCAAAATCCTAAGCCGACTAACGGCAATATGTCTAATACATAGATAGTAAATGTTACATAGAAAAAGAGCATTTGACGCCCATTGCCCCTCACGCCAACGCTCGTACCATTACAGGTTGATCCTCGTTCTAAATGTGGGACCGTCCGAGCGTCGCCTTGAACTCGCTTCGACCCCGCCTGCGCCACCGTCATTATCTCAACATTTCTGGAGCTCTATGACAGTGATTCGGCCATGCGAGAGTCAATCTACGGCAATCTTGCCGTGCCTGAGCTAAGGAGCGTTTTGGTGCTTTCGAGCATCCGTTTCGAGCGCCCGTCGTGACTTCTAGTGGACACGTTTGTGGGTAAGCCCGGAAGCAGAAGTCGGTGTTTTTTTGTGTGTATGTGTGTGTGAATATTTATGAACTGATGGGAAGAAAGGCCGTGGCCAAGGAAGAAAAGGGGTATCCAGAGAGTGAGGGTAATAACTGTTTTGGTGTCGAAAATGATGCGTCGGCGTAGTAGTCACGTAGAGTGATGCAGTCCGACGGGGCGGTGTGGAGGATAGTGGCCGTTGACATTAGCCGTAGTTAGATAGTCTCCCTGTATAACCCGAGCCTTTTCCTCCCATCACATCCGGATGTTGCTTAGAACACAAGGTTTACGCCGTCTTCCGGATGCTCGTGGTAGGATCCGCCCAGTTGCCTGATTAGACGGCAACGTTCCTCCATGTTGTAAGTGTTGTTGATTCTGCCGATACCTCTCGACGACGCGTCTCCGTGTGTTGTTCTCAGAACCCAGACACCACCACCTGCGGGCCAGCCAACGTAGACGACCGGTTGATTGTATCTATCTGGACTCATGAAATTCCTCCTGTAGGCATCTTCACTCTCCCACCAGGTCGCTCCGAGCTTGCGCATGTTACCGCAATGAATATCCTCCTCTGCTTGATCCAGAGATCTCATGGCGATGTGGAATCGGTCTAGATTTAAAAAGTCAAGTTCGACAGCCGTGCAATGAAGCACGTAGATTCCTCCGTAGCTAGGGTATCCGCGCACTGCAGCGCCAGGTCCTACTCCGAATTGTGTTCGGAATTGAGGTTTGTCAAATACCATGAGGTAGTCATCTTCTTCTCCAGAGTCATAGATGAGATTTCGCGACTGCGCGTCTGCAGCGAAATCCTCGTCTGCGGAATCATAATCATCAAACCCTCGCGATCGAGAGCTTGACATAAGATCACGGGTCAGGCCATGAGCTCTTGAGCGACGGGCTCTGAAGGAAAATAGATAGCTTCCAGACAAAGCTGCAAGAAAAAAGATGGCGGGTGTTATGAGGGACATAATGCCCGGAGTAGGTTGTGTTCGGACTGTTGGAGACATCTTGGCTTGGAGGTCTACGGATTACACACCTACCTATAGGTACTCCCGGCTCCGGTAGATAAGCCCTAATAAATTCACATGGATGCAATATGGGATGCAATATCGATGCGATATAGATGCACTACGGATGCACTACGTGGTTATGCCCACGTCATCTAGCGGGTTACCAACTGTAAATGACTTGGGCTCTGACGCTTTGCCCAGTTGTGTTAGGTGTGTTATGTGTGTTATGTGTTACGTGTTATGCCACTATTTGCATAAAGAGCATTGAATAAAATGATTGGAAGGGCAAAAAAGGAAAAAGGGAAAAATACCATTCTTCACATGTTGTTAGGCATTGTTTGGCACCACATCCGAATTTCATCTCTCTAACGTAGGGCTGATAGGTAACCGAATAAACACCAAGGACACCAAGGACACCATGGTAGCCAATCAAATAGCCGCTCGCCCTTCGGCATAACTAACTTGCATATACGTGGCCACGAACAAAAAACTGTGCCACTTTTACTGTGCTTCTTATTGATCGCCTCAACTCCTCCCGCACAGCCATCGCGAGTCACGCAGGTACAAATCCTTACCCATGCCGAAAGGAAGCTATGACTTCATCAAGAAATGCCTTGTGGCTTTTTGACTGGTTGCCTCGTTGGAAGAAGGTAATCCAATGGCCCTTTGACGCCCAACACAAGAATAAGGTCCCGTGAGCTTTAAAAGTCTGGCCGCCAATGTTTACATTGATAAAAGCACTGTTTCCACTTATAGCTTGGCTATACATTGCATGCCAAGCATTCCGTTCATGTCTTTTATCCACGTCAATACGACCTAACTCTTTCGAAACGTTTACAGGGGCTGAGCGCGCAAAATTGACGAATGCTGGCGAGTATTTCGCCTTAGCGGAAAACTGAGGCCATGGAAGAATAAGTGAGACTCGCTCTAGAATCAATTGCGAATAGTGGGACATTATATGCCATTGGCTCCGAGAGAAGAGCATCATCACCATCTATCTAACAGTTTCGAAGCTCATGAAGCTTATGACTTACTAGCTATTATTGCAGATATTATAGGACCCTAACATTTCATAAGCTCGATGTAAAGAGTGAAGTATACGAGATAACTCACTACGGCTTCAATTGATACAGGGGGATATTTCCAGGACATTGGTAGCTATAGTACGCCTTTAGCATGTGTTCATACACTTGAAGCTTTACATGCGAAGAGAGAAATGTGATTAGACAATTGCTATAAAAAAGGAGGCAGCCCATATTAGAATGCGGTTTGTCATTGGTATCCAAGTTTCAGCTCGATCATAATCGCCTTCATCCGAAACTCACAGATGGCCATCTTGAAGCATGGCATTTGGCTCATTCGCGTGTCAGTGCCGGTCCCAACCATCCGGCTAGTCAGGAACAGTATCCAAGTGCCCTGATCCTCTACGAGATGTGTGCATGATTGGTTAAGGTGAGGTCCATTGGTTGCCTCCCATGTCCTCGGACCCGTTGTGTAAACTGACGATGATGGGTTAGGCTGCCTCGGTATAGACTTGATCCTTATTCGAGAGCCTTAGTACCTCAGACTCCACATAACGAGAAAGTAGAGAAATGAACAAAATGCTTGAACTACAGATAGGCTCCACTTACTGATATAAGACTATCCAAAACTTCGTGAGCTTTCTTGAGTTACTGGGGTCATACCTGACTGGGGCACCTCTATAACCTATTTACAGGTAGAGTCAAAACAGGTAAGTTGTCTATTAAAGTAGAGTATAGTCGGGAAGGTTTAGAAAGTGAAGACCTGGTAATTAACCCACTATAGGGTAGCGGAATTTGGAATAATAAGACAGCCACGCACGGTTCCTTAGGTAGGTATCTTAGGTAGGCACTTATATACAGAAACAGTACGTTGCTCAATCAATATTATAGTCTTATTATCGTCATAAGTTACTTATACTATAGACCATGTATACTAGAACTGGAGGTATAAGTGGGTGATTTGTAGATATCGGGGTTAACCCTGGACCCAGAATACCGTGGCCCGTCCTATCAGCTACGTTTGAGGTTGGCTCCGCATAGATAAAGACGGGATGGTTCTAGGATTTACGTATATTGCGGCTCATTTTCTTTACTAAGCCATCACCTCCACCCTGGCAAATAAAATGGCATCCTTGGAACCTCAACTCCCCCCCAGACCCCCAACTGTAAGGCAAAATTGCCCATTATAACCGTAGTGAGATCGTCTCACCACTATAATCTTCTATACTTTCTTACCAAACATATCCAACTTGGTTGTTCCCCTTGGGGACTGGCCGTCCATACCCACGGATACGTTGTGCCGCAGAAGTATCCACAACGCTCTCTAGGTAAAGAATCTCGGGCTAGGCCTCAACGGAGCTACCTATTCAACTAGCTTCTGGATCGATGGATGCTACCGTACCGGCGAAGAGCACTAGCGAAGAGCTGAACCATGGCCTTGGTATCGGTTCTAGAGCTAACACAGATGGATATCGTTACTAGCATATGGAAATTACGTGCAGGGAGTTCGAAAGGCCCACGATACGATCGCTCTACGGTCTATCACCACTAATGCGTGGTTTTATGCATATGACTATACGCTAGGGCGAAGGACAACACAATTACGGGGCAATTCTTGAGTAGAACAATACTAAATCATGTATCTACAAATCCTGGCCTTCATCCGTGATCCCTACATTGCAATTCCAGTCATATTCCATACCGTTAGTTATCAGCAAGCGAGAAAGATGGCAATGCGTTGTTCATGCGAATGACAGCACTCTTACTTTTGTCGGCAACCGGCCAGTTCTTGTACACTTTTTGCGAGAGCGATGGAGACATGTGCGGATACGAGGACTCGTCGAGTGTTCGGGACATGATGTTGAGAAGTTCCTTGTCGCCGGCCCAAGCCTTCGCGTCCTCGTATCGCTCATCATCCTTCTCGAATGACACTTTAATACCCTTCCGGCAGACCTTCTGGATGATCCCCCAAGATTGGACTAGACTTGTAGCATTCTTCCGCAGGGACGAGGTCACATCCTCCTTATCTACCTCGGCCATCCACTGGCACTTCTGAGCTTGGTCTAGAATCTTTATTACCATCGTATGGGCGGCATGGTCGTGTGCTTGCAGATTAAGGGTATCGTGGATCTGCGTCCAAATTTTTTGGCAAGTTTCCGCGAACGAAAGCCAGTCGAAGTAGAGATCCGAGGTTTCGGATACGATATAAAACCCTAGGTTTCCCAATATGGTGGTTATACGTCGGTCGGGATTAGACCAGGCCTTGCAGCACTTTTCTTCAACCGCAGGTGACAGTCCTACCTGTCTCGCTTTTGCGGCAATGGCTTTTGGGTCCCCAATGGCTCTTACAAGATTCAAAATCATGTCGTCAGTCATGACCTCGCCTCCACACATCCAGTTTGATAATATGCCGTCGAGCAGGCAAGGATTGGACGCCCACCGCCCCCTTTCTATGTTCAGCTTCGGTTTGGTAGACCTTCTGTTTCTCGCAAAGTTCGTTGCCATCACACCTGCAGCTAGAAGGAACTTCTTATGCGCTTCTTCCATTGATCCAGGCAGTCCGCCGACGAACATATTATCCAAATCTTGCTTTTGAAGGAAATATTCCATATCGGGCCATACTGGGTCGTTAGGATATAGAGAGCGGCCGGCAATATATAGATGCACCATACTCGTAATACCACGCCATGCCTCTTCGAATTTACAGCCGTAATTATGAGGTTGCTGATAAAGACCATACTTCAGCATGCCGCATTTCACGGGGTTGATCTTTAGGAAATAGTCCGGCTCCTGAATGAATTCCGGTATGTCAGGCTTACCCCTTAATTCGTCTAAATCGGGATGAATGGTCCATCCCGATGGGTCTCGTACATCACCGCCTACAAGCTTCCTACGGAAGTTATCTTTTAAGATATCCGATTCATAAGCAGCTAAGGTTGTTGCGAGCCACTGCGACGCTTGTCCGACGAGAACAAATGGCTCCTGGTTGAGCTTCTTGCCTCTAAACGCGGACAGCATGTTACGCGTGTGTTTCTTAACTTCATGAATCGGTTTCTCCGGCATGTCCTGGAGCTCATCTTGGATATCTAAGAGCAACTGGACGCCAAATGCGACCGACATGGGAATTGTCTCGGTCCTGAACATGAGACCAATCCCAGATGTGACTTCGTCGCTGGCGAAAGACTCCGCCATGGCCCGAGCTACACCTTGGAAACATGGCAGCATGCGCTTAATGCGACGGAAGTTCTCCGTAGCCCCGTCGGTAAGGGTCGTGTCTCCAGGAACCATATTCTCCCCACCCAGAGATTTGGACTGGTACAAGGAGTGCTTGAGGGCAGAATATATTTCCGACAAACAAAGCTGCCCATGACTGCAATCTATAACATGACATCGTGGCGACGGTTTCAAGAAGCTATCCAAGTCTTGGCCTTTGCTAACCATATCCTCCTCGTGTGTGGCATAGATGAAGATGTCAGGGAAATTCCAGACAGGATACGATGAGGAAGGGTATTTTTTCGGCCTTTCTATCATCAGATCTAGCTCATGCTCTGCTCTTCGAACAAGCTGAATAGCTGTGTTGGTGAGTAGAGAGGGCATAATGAGCTCCGCCACTCCCTGTCTGTATGCCTTCCAACTCCGTCGGATGCAAGAACGCACATCGTCGAGTTCCCGCATAAAGGCGAAGATGGCGAAGAAGAAATCGTCTTCAATATCTTCCTCGCTCTTTAAAAGCGTGACACGGGCGACGTCTGTTAGCTTATAGTCATTTTCATCCAGTTCGGCTGGGCGGCCCGGCTCCACATCCGGCCCCTGTTCCTGTAGCTCTTCGACTTCAAGTGCAGAAAAGCGATTGACCAAGTTGACTACCGGTTCTGACTCAGGAATTTCTTGTATCCGTTTCTTTATATGTGAAGTCCGTGCCTGTTCAGATGGGCGTAGAATTTCCCAGGCATTAGTGAGGACACCCGTGAAGTGTACATGGCTTTTATTGCTTCCTTCATCACTATGGGAATATGCCTGGTACCACTGTGTGAATTGCTTTCGGGTATTTATAACGCGACTAAACAGGTTGTCCAGCGCTTTGGGAATATTGACTTTGGGATTGAACTCAGCAATAGCCTTCGCCATACGACTAAAGTCGGAGACATTGATAGTATATCGAGGCAGAGTTAGACTCTTAGGTAAACTCGCCGATGTCCCACGAGCTTGCTTCCTGGCTTTCCCCTTAAGCCTCTTACTAGGAGCTGTAAGGACACCAGCCGTACTTGCAGGGGTAGGCTCGTCGATTTGATGCCCACATCTCCGATAGTTGTAAGCTAACCACCCCGCAATTGTCTCGGTGTCTTCCTTATATTGCTTATAAGTAGAGAATCGGTTATTAGTTGTCCACTCCATGATATAATGCTTGTCTGTCAGAGAATAGAAAGATGAAATAACTAGAGAATGAAGAAAACATAAGACATGAGGTTATGGAACACTGAAGTTGGCGGTGAGCACCAGGACCAGTAGCCAGGCAGTCGATATGTGCGCCGTGCGCTTATTATAGAGCAGAATAACCCCCACTGACTGGTTATTTCTGTCATATTTCACATCTCATATCTTCAGAATCAGAGCTGCTCCAATAGAAGAAGCTTGCATCTGGAACGCTTAGGTATTCCTATCTTGGAAATCAGTTGTTGTTTTTACGTAAAATCTTGGACAAGTTGGTTTTGGTCCCTTTGATCAAATGAAGTTTCGGTCGTCCTCGACATCACAGCGCCCAGGGCTATCTAGTGTACGCAGGCTGGTTGAGAGTCGAGGGGCCACGATAGATAATTATACGAGGCTTTAGGCATCTTCGAAGTAAAAAAGTTGTAGCCAAATTTTACGGACCCATTCACTTTACCAATATTCAACCGTAGAGATTGTATTTGACAAGAGTGATGCTATTTCTAGATTACCATGACAGCCCTTCCAAGTAGATTACCCCAACAATATCTCATATAGCGTCCTCTATAATAGATCCAAGCGCCGGTGGTGGTTTATCGTCACGATCGGTTGTCGGCGTCCGCACGAACAATGCCAGGATTAACATCATAATACATGATATTGATACTCCAAGGTATGGTAAACCAATCCAAACCCCACCTAATCGCATACCCAGCGTAAAAAGGCCTGCTAGGGCAGGCGTTGCCCAGATATTGCTTCCTACATCCAAGAGCGCCATGATGCTAAACAACCTAGACCGATGTTCAATGTCGATATGCGAGGTCGCGATACTTTTGATGAAACTTGCTGATCCGGAACCAAGAGACATAACAACAAGGCCAGCTACGAACACAGGTAAGGTCGGTGATACGCCAAGGATGAAACTACCTATAGCGTAGACCACGTAAGACCACCGTGCTAGTATTAGGTCACGGTCTTTCTCGTTTGCCACACGGAAGAATTTCGGTGTTGTTGGTTGAACGACCAATTTAGATAACACTGGAACGATTAATAGAACCACGACTATGTGAGAGATCCCGAAGACGGATTGAATATAACCAGTTTTGGCTATTGGGATATGGTAATGTTTCGAAATATACTGGACCATGAACTGGAGTGTACACATCACGACGGGCATCGACAAGAGGCATATGCAAAGAATGAGAGTAACAGAACCTGTTCGAATGATAGACAAGGAGTCTTTCAACTGGTTGAAGCTTCGTAATGCACGCGTTTTGAATGTTAGTGTAGACCCAGTGATATCCGAGCGCATGGGTTGGCGGAATGTTTCTGGGATAATGGCAATTAGAGCAGCGGTTAAGGCCCATAGTATGATGGTGAGCCACATAACGGGCCAAGGACCTGTTGTGGACATCACAGCAGATGCCAGTGCCGGTGAGACTAAGTTGCCCGCAAGACTTGCAACATGAATCCTCATGAATGCAATTGACCTATGAGTCGTAAGTAAAGTTACTGAACGTTGGAAGCTGGCTCATTGGATTGCTAACATACCTACTGGACTCTGGGACTATGTCGCTCACCATGCTGTACGTGCAAGCGCCTATAACTGGTGGACCTCCAAAGAGATGCGCTACAGATGATATCCAAATCCATCGAACCGGGAACGTGTCTGGAAACCAGCCCACAACCATGATCAATAGCACATGTAATATCATGCCTATTGCAGCGGTAGCATATACCGGTTTGCGGCCGATGCGATCGGCAACGATCCCCCAAAGAAGGGCAACAAGACAACCGATGCCAGAGTTAAGAGCCTCTAAAAATGCAAATAGATATGCTAACTCGGACTGTATAACATTCTCCTTGCAGAGCACCTCATCAATCGGTTCGCCCGAGGTTGGCGACTGGCTGTAGTATTCGTGGCAGAGAATGTCTTCATATATCCTCGTCATGGGAATCTGCTGGAAGCCACCGGCGAGAGAACCGACGAGGACGATCAAGTAGCAGAGGCTCGGGATGAGATTAGGGTTGTGCATCCATGATACGGTGTTTTCGGTGCTGGAGATAGAAGAGGTAAGCGTGGTTGACCTCGATCGGCCGGGCTTCCAAGCCGGGGAGGAAGCTAACGTGGGGGTCCCCTGAATCGTTGAAATCCCCGAAGTCCCCACAAGAGGAGTACGCTCGGTGACGGCGTTCTCGTCATCGTCGGGCGTTGGTTCACTCATTTCGGGGTCGAGTAGACCTTTCGGATCGTTCGCTGGTTTGATTGTATACATTGGGTTGAGTGATGATGAAGGTAAATCGTAAGCTGATCGTAAGGCTACAAGACAGGTTCATTATCTCCGACGTAGCCACCCACGCCAGGATCACATGGTCCAGCCTATCATATACCGAATATGTAGGAGGCTATCTGTGGCACATTATACAGGGGTAAGATGTATGCCAAGCTACATAATTCGAGACATAATTCAAGACATGCTTACAGGTACGGATTAGTGGAATCACACGTGGATTAATTCAGCGCACACATTCTGACATTCTGCTAACTTCTAATTGTTTTTACAGCAAGGATTTTCTACTCCCTGTTTCGATATATCTCCATATTTATATACTATACTATCGTGAAGTTCTTATATCTAGGTACCTACCTAACGTGTTACTTCTTATATCGTCACCGTGCAAATCGCACGAAGCTACAAAGTCGACACCCTTTGGTTCCTTCAATTCCATCGAACTACTTCCGACACCCTCTGCTGTCCTATGACGATTGCGACGAGCCGAGCGACAAGGAGAATTCTATGAAGGATGATATCCCGTTATATAAGCCCTTCGTGTCTACGAGATCCTCCCCGATTCGCAAGCTGAAAATCCTAGGCAAGGGCAATAAGGGACAGTAGTTGTCGTCATCTGTAATACATTCTCAGCAAGGGATAATAAAGTCGAGTCGGTCCGATGAAACAATGGGAGAAGACACTATGTTTCAATCAAGATCTCCGCCTCCATTGAAAGACGTACCCCTACGAGGGGACTGTGAAGGGGCAAGAATCAATAATGTGCCTATGACGTGGCTGTCTAAAAGTTGTCTTCGGCAGAGATGCTAGGCGTGAATTGGAGATATCGGAACCTACGAAGGCAGGAGAAGCATTGCTATGCGAAGTGATACGGCCCCCCCTAAACTTGGTCCTCTACGCCGGACGCGCTCGTATGGGATACCCCCGCGACTGTCAACATAGTGTCTCCCCCTGCAATAGCCAATTAGCTATTTTTTCTCGAGGGTGACCAACTACAACGCCTTAGGGCCCAAAAAATATATGGCGAAGAGTCAGAAGTGGCTTACGACGTTTCCCACGTCCTTATTTCAGGCTACCTAGGCATATCATGTTTAAAAAGGCCGAGCGGGTTTCTAGAACTCTTTGTCATACACCACGTCAGCGAGTATAATTCTCAAAATATGATATATGAATCCCGGCTCGCTGAAAGTTGCACCAGCTGCAGACTTCTAAAATTGAAATGATAGGTATTCTACCTCATTCTCGTAAAGTAGAAGACCGGCCTAGGCAAATGAGGAAGTCCTCGTAGTCCGATATGACCGACTGTCGTACCGGATCAGCCATAACCTGCCAGTTAAATTTACAGCCTATGTTATCCTTTCACTGGCATGTCAGCTACGACTCGATCACGGCCGGAACGGACCACAACCCTGCCGATAAACAGCAGAAATCCTGTTCATAACCATTCGTCCTGTGATCAGACTGGTTGGAACCCCGAAGGCGGCATTGAAGTTGATACGATGCAGTGAAGTTTAAGGCCAGGGATTGACTTACGCCGGTCCCGCAGAGCCTTTTCAAATGCCATCTACTATTGTTAGCGACGGTATTAGATACCTAATATTAATTAGGTACCTATGTAGGTAAGATTATAGTAGCAACGCACCTTGAGAATGCGCCCCTATAATTTAGTACCACGGAGAGCTGATGTGAATATTATTCGTAGTTTGATGGTTCTATTGATACGAAGGGTCTGGAACTTCTTCTCAATCCCACGGCTGCGGTGCGATGGAACGCGTAATTCGATGTGTCCCACGTTCAAATTTCAAGTTGGCCTTTATCGTGGTGCGTCTTGGAGATTCCCATACGACTTGATCCTTGCCGATGGCTAACAAGCCAAATATGAGGAAGGAAGATTGGGTTGGCGTAGCAAAAATCCTGCCTGTTCGGAAGATGTAAAAGTTATTATAGATTGAAAGAATATTTTTACCTCCGGAAGGATTATAACCTGTTCGGGAACATTGCTATTTAAGGTACGTTTCTCAGTTTGAAACTACTATATGATTGTTTAAGCGGGTGGGAATCGATCCCGCGATAGCTTCATCATGCTAAAGATGATTCAAGCCGTGGCTTATTGAATGTACTACATACCTGGTAGGTAGGTACCTACACTGGGCCCGATTTTTAATTATCTAGCTTAATAGGAGGTACCTAGCAAACAGCCGTCAGCCTTAACGGTGACATTTAGATGCTAGGCATTAAGAGGCGTGAGGCTTGAGCTACGATAAACATAACAAACCCAACTAAACCGAACTAACAATATTCTGTCCAAGATTCTCTGATTGGGTTAATGTCCGAACGGCTATCCGAAACGTGATGTCAGACGCGGCGCGAAAGGGAAATTCGCGGAATATCATTGCTCGTTGTGGTGAGACAAGTACAATAATTCAAGATTGGACACACTGACATGTTGAATTAGTATTACCAAATAATCAGCTCATGTCTACCTTTATTTCCCGTCAGTAGATTATCTATTGCACGCTTTTAATCCCTATATTGTACCGTGAGGTCATCACTCCTCAATTATTTGGTAACAAGGTCAGTCTCTGAACTTCGCGACGGTCTAGATGCCCCTTCGATGCCCCTCGATTCTCGGTAGTGGATAGGTACCTACGCCTGAAAATACGAGTAAGCTAGTAAGGACGTTAAACGACATTCGATGTGAGCTACTGTCATGCATAGGAAGTATTCAGATGCACGTGTGAAGATGCATCATGCATTGGTTAGATACATAGAGTCGGCAGGATCTCCTGGGCAATATCTCCGAAGCAAACGCCACACTATCGATTAAAATACGATCCTCTTACCTAGGTACTTGTGAATCGACTAGACAGATCATGTCTGATTCCGACCCTCGTCGGTCCCGAATATCGCGACACAGCTAGATAACTGTTACATGACCAGCGGTTTACTTAGAAACACCATAAGCCCATGGGATCTTCAAAAAGTTGAGGCTCGCGGTTATACCGGTTGTTTCACGACAGCGATCCTCAGCAGGAATGTTGGGCCGATCAACCATTCCTTATATAACGGGTAGGCCTGACACCTTAGCCGTACCACCGCTCGTTGTCTTAGTGCAACCCAGGGAGTTATCGTCTCTTTTAATTAGGTAGTCATAGCACGATCGACAGATTTTCGTCTTCCTAGGCCTGACAGAAAGTCCACAACCTCACTTACACCGGATCCTCGCAGACAATGCATCTACTTGGGAACTCGGTCATAATAGGGGTATTCGCTGCCCTAGCGAGTCAGTCCGTACTCGCAGGACCTGTTGGACGTGGCCCAGGCCATGCCGGCGGGATACCGATGCCTCATGATTTCAAGAGGTTCGAAGATACATATCATAAAAATATCAGAGCATCCCTGGGCCCCCGCGGCTGTACGAGGAGAAGCATCACCGTTCGCAAGTCATGGTAAGGCGGCACAACTGCTCGCGAAGATGAAGCTTCTATCGTAACTTATAACTCTAACATGAGCCACAGGGATAACCTCGACGACGCGACAAGAGCAGATTATCTACGCGCAGTAAAATGTCTGGCGGCTAAACCACCAACGATGGACACGAGTCTAGCGCCCGGCGCCGTCAACCGGCTAGATGACTTCACTTACATCCACATTAACCAGACTAACATAATCCACCAATCGGTGAGTGTTCCTGCCAAATAATCCATTCTAACGTATTCATCAGCTAACTAGCTCAGGGCTACCTCCTGCCGTGGCATCGCCTGTTCCTCTGGCAAATGGAGCAAGCGCTGCGCAACGAGTGCGGGTATAAGGGGCATCTCCCTTACTGGGATGTTCCCCGGTTCTCAGAAGACCAGACTAAGTCCAAGGTCTTTGATGGTTCGATGACATCTTTTGGTGGTAACGGCGCCCAGGTACCCCATAAGGCCCAGAAAGTCACTCTTCCCGGATTGGTCATAGGTAATTTCTCGCTGCCAATGCCCGCCGGCACGGGAGGTGGCTGCGTCACGGATGGCCCCTTTAAGGAGTTCACAATCAGCCTGGGTCCCGTAGCGAAGGAGGTTATCGATCCAGCTAACAAGTACGGCTATGAACCTAATAAGCGATGTTTGTCCCGGGATTTCCATGACCCTTCAAGCAAAGGTGTGCTGACGTGGGCCAACGCGACAACCATCGTGGCATCCAAGGACATTAAGGAATTTAGGAACAATATAGAGGACCTATGGCATCTGAATTCACACATATTCGTAGGGCGCGAAGCGGCAGATCCGTTCAGCACGCCTAACGATCCAGTCTTCTATCTTCTACACGCGCAGATTGATCGCCTGTGGGCGATATGGCAGGGCCAAAACCTACAAGAAAGGACATACGCAATTGACGGGTATAGGACATTCCTAGGTCTCGCCCTGGACTACGCGCCGGATGTACCACGAAGTCTGGCTACGACTGAGGATATAATGGATATGGGCTTGGGCTGGAACCCCAAGACCAAGGAAGGGATGCCGGCGACGGAATTAGGACGATGCTATGTATATGAATAGATTCGGAGGAGATTCGGTAAATTTCTTTTGTAATAGATCCAATATCCGCTAGATTTGTATTTATGAAACATGACGTATAAACGCAATAGAAGCTAAACGTTTGTATTCCTACGGAATACGAACAATGCTCACATAGATCATATATATGGTAGGGTTCAAATATAAAGATCATATCACCAATGCATCAACGTAAAAACTCCGACGAGAAACGGAGAATCTGGTGTTGAAAATACTCTGTACGGATGTCTGCACTACGTCCGGTGGAGGATCATTAATAAGACCTACTCCGTGTTTGTAGCTGGCGAGTTACTTTCATCTCTACGCCTGGACCGGCGAAGCTTCTCGTAAAGCCCTCCTACACCAAAGAATCCATAGCGGCTTGCTATCATAGATGATAAGCTCGGTGAAGAGGTGGAAAATATTTTACCGGCTGATGACACGGCGATGCGACATTCCTTCAAAGCGTTTATTGATCGCATCTACCCTCTACTAGAGAATGTTTTTGATGAGTGGCGTTTTGAATCATTCGACCTAAAAGAGAGGCCGAGTGTGTGGCGTCGCTGATGGCTTTCAGTCAGATCTTAGCTACCTAAGGTACCATACATCCATTGTATTGTATATACCTAATATATACGCGCTTGCCGCCTTGGCCGCCCCTTGCGTACTTCCGGATATATATTCACTGACTGCGCGTAATAGGAGTAAGCCCTATCAAATGCCTTCAAGACTTGCTTATCTCAAAAGTCTTAGATTTATTAATGGGATGTGACCCAACCAGTTATTAAGAGCGTTGCAAGTGGATGTTTCCATTAGCAAACCTTTATCTCAATGACCTGTTTGTTTTCGAGAATCCGCTAGCAGTGCAGCCGTAAGCACTATACGATAACTCATGGCATGTCTCTCGTATCGTTTATCGTGACGATGTTACACAGCTAGCTACTACGCTTGCGCAATAGCTATCTTGCTCCAACTAGGGCCATGGTTCATTAATATGTGTAAGGCCTGTAATAGTATGATTTATAACATCGCTTTCCCATATTTGAAGAATGTTGTGTAACTAGGGACGACCTATTGGGTTAACCGCGCGGCACACTACGTATCACGAATCGTAGTCCGCCCAAGATGCTCCCGTTACCTAGGCTATTATGTGTTTGGCCCGTCTACCTCAGTCTAGCATGCACCTCAGCATCAGGTACTTAATCTCATAGTATGGGTGCCTTATGGCGAGAGGTAACGTCGCCCATAGGCTGCAAGAAAAGCAAGCCGTGTAGAAGTTCATTATCTTGACTACCTTGGGTACGTACTCTGGCGTACTTGTTCGTTTAGCTTCGCTTATTTTATCTCTAGCTTTCGTATATGTCTTAGGTATGAAGATTTAGGTTGGTTTACAAGCGATAAAAAGGTCTGACGCACATCGTCTTTCGCATCAAGTGATACTACCTCGGGGATACAAACTTCACCATCCCTCTTTCAAAATGAATTCAGTACTGAGGGGATAATTCCAACAACCGTAGCTACGTAGAAACCACAATGCTATGGATACCTATGCGACATGCCTTGGAAGATTCCGAGTTAAATAAGTATGATGTCTTACGAAGATTATGTTGGCCACTTACAGTCTGGTGAAATGTAAAGTTATCATAAATCTGGTAACGCCTAACTTTATCCATCATACCATAGTTGTCGACTTCAAGAACAAACATGACTTTGTAGTGCATGATACCCGGAAGCGCCTTGAAAGTAAAATACGAAAGTGTTTTATCTAGTACGCGAGTTGCCTCGAGGTACGCCATGGCTTTACCCGCGTACCCAGAGTGTCTCATCAAGAATGCAGCGAAGGTGTCATGTGCTAAAGGGTTTCTGAAAGAAGCAAGCGCTCCGATAGATACGAGAAAGAGTCTAGGGAGAGATCTTCGTTGTGATGGATGGCGCAGGTGCTGACACCCAACTATGTACTCTTTGGGATAATATAGTCATCCATTGCAATGAGCCCTGGATTTTGATGGTCTACATATTGTTCTTCCTATAGAGTACCTGCTGCTAGTGGGGACATCCTAAAGAATCCTTGATATAGGGGTGAAGGTAGCGGTACTTCGCTAGTATTAGTCCGCCTTGGATATCACTGCTAGAGCTGAAAATTGACCGTATCTCCTTAGCAGGCTTATCTTAATATCTCTGATCTCTTAAAAAGCAAAAGAAGGTTGCGCTCAGGCAAGTTGACTTATGTCCCCATTTATTGGCACATTGCATTAGTACTTGGTTAAAAGTCAGGGGTAGAACCTTGGACAGAACATCTCACCTACGTATAGAAAGTGCCTATATAGCTTCAATTCAGAGATCCGTTTAGTCCAACCTGATAGAACTACTGCCAACAAAGTCCGTGACGAACGAATAGGGATCTTGCTTAGAGCATTCTTGATTAAAACTTAGGCAGAAATGTGTGCTTATATAAAACATTAAAGAGCCTACCACCATTTCTAGTTAAAGTTCTGTCGCACAATATATAAGGCGTAATTGCTGTACAGCGATTACGGCGTCGTTTTTCGTGTTTGACAAGTTCATACCATAATAATAATCTAGATCATTCTAATAAATAAGGTGCTCATAATGCATGGTAAGAACATAATGAGTGTTGACTTAATTTTAACATACTCAGTATATAATATATTTCAGCGGCTAAGCAGGAGACTATACCCTATATTTTAAACTATCCATTCACATTGAAGGCAAGCCTTGACCTATATGGCAGTGGTTTCCGCAACTTGGACGTCTCATCCTATCAGGTGCCACCCCAATGATGCGAGATGACAACATTTAGCCTATTCGAACCATAGTTACCGCAAAGGTCCAGAACATACCCAAAGGTTCCAGAGCATTTGATGGTTTCATTTATCAAAGTCACATGTAGGGTCTTATTGACGAGAAAGGAAGCTCTTTGAAACTTACAAGTGCCGACATACTAGACATAGAGAGATGATTTGTGCTATGGAATAGTTGTAACCAGCTATATACCCCTCTTCACATTTTATCGATTTATAAGTATGGCCACCTTTCTTTGGGTAGAGAGACTTTCATCATCAGTAGGGGATACCAAATTTCGGGTCTTGGCTTTACCTAGAGTAACATAGCTAGGTATGATTGACCTCGCAGAGCTACTACAGCGACGATCGGTCTTGGCTTCAATTATCTTCCATTGATAATGAAGCTGTTATTCCTGTTTGGTGCTACTTTTGTCAAGATTCTCGCGGCGAGCCGATTGTGCGATCAAGATGATGGTCCTAGTCTCACGGTAGGGACCCTGACTGGAACGTACACTGGCCTACAGAATTCAGAATATCCGGGTGTCAGAGAATTTCGAAACATCCCGTATGCTGAGCCTCCTGTTGGCAAGCTCCGATGGAAACCTCCCGTGCCTCTCCATCCTTCACAGAGCCATCACCACTCTTACAGATTTCCACCTTCATGTCCTCAATATTTGACCTCTCACTTATCATTATGGAATGCCAATATTACCGACTTCTCTATACCTACAGGCGATCAAAGTCACTATGCGGGAGAAATGGCACAGACCACAGCCGAGGATTGTTTGAGCTTGGCAATTTGGACCCCTATTAATGCCACGTCGAAAGATAAGCTTCCTGTGGGCTTATTTCTGCCAGGCGGTAGTTTTAGAGGTAGTGGCTTGGATGCCCCCCTATCATATACCAGCCGGATGGGTCAACCGTAGCCAAAAGCACATCATTGTTACCATGAACTACAGGGTTAACATATTTGGGTTTCCAAATTCCGCTGGACTCGAAGATAACGATCTCGGTATTTTAGATCAGAGACTTGCGCTAGAATGGGTGTATGCGAACATTGAAGCCTTTGGTGGTGACTCAAGCCGTATCACAGTATGGGATCATTCAGCCGGCGGAGTATCAGCAGACGTTTTAAACTTCGCATTTCACGATGACCTGCTGGCTGCCGGCTTTTTCTTGATGTCTGGAGCAGCGATGCGTACTTTTGCACAGGGCGATAACGCACTACAAACAAACTTTACATACGTTTCCAAGGAACTTGGGTGCGATTTTCCAGACGACCCAAAAGCTCAGGTCGAATGTATGCGACAGCGTCCCAGTAAATTTAATTACGAACCTTATTGGACATCATGGGGATGAAAAGAAGAAGCCATCTTTGTTCTTTCGACCTAGTGTTGACAACAAAATCATATTCCAGAACTATATAGAAAGGGCCGAGAAAGGTCTCATATCGAAAGTCCCAGCACTCATTAGCGACACATCGAATGAGCAATCAAGTCTTATTGCCTACCCTATTGATAACTTAACTCAAGGTCCTAATAAGACAGAAGTCGACAGAGGAACATTGAACGACTTTATTTGCCCAGCATTTAACTCTTCAAACGTTAGGGAATTTAATAACCTCACTACATATCGTTATCAATACGCTGGGAACTACTCAAACTTAACTCCTTTTTCTTGGATGGGAGCTTATCATGGAGCCCATTTACCCATGATATTTGGAAGTTATAACCTCACAGGCGGAGCCACAGACTTTCAAAAACAGGTGGCAGAGACGATGCAGGACTATGTATTAGCTTTCTTGGAGGATCCAAAGGATGGGTTGAAGTCTCTCACATGGTTACCAGGCAGTTCTAGATCCGGGGTTGATAGTTCAATAGTGAGGTTTAGAGCAGGTGACGTCGTCGTCCAAAGTATTAACGCCTCAGACGTGGACGTTGCATGTTTGGGGAGAGGACATTATAACTCACATCCATAGAGATTACATTTAAATCCAGGTTTGTTAGTCAGAGTACGAAATAAAATCTTGGGGATCTTTCTCTTTCGAGACTATTAACCCTTTGATCCCTGGAAGGAAATATGCGTGAATCGTCCCATTATATGAATAATTCTTGGAGTGTCGACGAACTTCTTATAATCTTCACGATATGCATGAATGGTTGTGAATATTTAAGTAATGGTATATGGAAATTTAGAGCATGTCAAGCCTGTATGCACTGGTGTAGAAGGTGCTTGGAGTTACTAAGGCTGCTACACTCCTAAGGGCCAGACTTACTTCCTGCCGTAGGCCCCGTAAATTCACCCTGAGGCAGTAAATATTCATCCTATTTAAAGTAGTACACTGATTATGTGGTTTAATTCATAACTTCCCAAACATAGTCACCAAAAAGGATTTACTGGACTTAGAAGCACACTCCCAATGTCAGTATGGCAGACTCTTCAGATGGCAAGACCCAGGAGGATGGGATGGTAGCCGTTGCTCTGCATCATTCAGATGATGCATCATCTACTGACTTGTTAAAGCTCGCCGAAGATGATAATCCCATTGGTCAAGCTGGAACTTCAAACACTCTTCTTTTCCGTGTACCAGCATTGCCATCTTTGGGCCATCCAAGCCTGTTGCAGCATCCCAGTTCAAGAAAGCGTGGACCTTCCCCAGTTGACACTATAAAAGGTTCTCAAAAGTAAGTCTTTGCACAATACAAGTGCCTTAAAACGGCCTTAATAAATCTGTTTCTTAAACTAATAGCATCAAACGTAGGAAGCCGCGACACTGGAGAAGTCGCCAACCAGGATCCATCATGAATTCATCTTCAGACCTTCCCACCCAAGGAGCTATGTCATTCCAAGGGCAAGGAGCAAGTCAATCATCTTTAAACCCCATTAAGCAACCCCAACCCCAGCCCCAGCCACAGGACAGCGCTTATACGGAATCGCGCTTTGAAGTCGCCAATTCCACCCAGTCTACCAGTACACTCAACAACTTCGGCGAAATTGGTGGAGAAAGCAAACCAGTATCCGGCTCCCACATTCTCACAGAGTCTGAGATTCCATCTCTACCGTACGGCCTTGGACTTATTTACGCCGAGACCTGTAGACTGAGGGCTGAATCGAAGCGTCGCGAGGAAGAGATGGAAGCCGAGAAGGCAGCCGAGAAAGCGCGTCTCGCGGCTGCGAAGAAGGCCAACGAATTCCGATGGCCCGGTGACACTTCGGCGTATCCAGCAGAGTCTTTCGTATTCTTGAACCCTCCAGGCAGCAAGCTCCGCGCCAAGGCTGTCCACATCGGCACCCCGAAGAGCCAACCCTTGGCGTCACGCGTCAGCGTCTACGCCGTCAGACAAGAAGGTAGCGCCGATATTGAGTTCAGAATGGCTCGAGATGGCTCGACCCCGGAAGAAATACGCCAGGGACACTCAGTCGACTACAAGCAGATCCGCCTCAACGACTTCTTCAAGGGTATGAAGCAGAATCAAGCTGACCTTTGGGCCAGGCAGCTGTTAGCTCAGGTTCCGGGTATCAACGACTCTATTGTCAAGTGGAAATAAGAAACCAATAACCGATACGGGGGCACAAGAAGGTTCTTAAAAGTTCCCTGGCTTGCTGCATTGTCTCTTATGTCCTCGCATGACGAGCATCACTTGCCAGACAACACCCCAAAATTCGATTGGCCTCTGAGTTATACAGCTGATAGTTAAGTTGACACAAATATGCGCATTGTATTCTAGGTTAGGTTAAATTAAAATAAGCCCCAAAAAAATCCGACAAACATTATTAGGTACTACTTGTCTTTGTATCTCGACTATCGTAGCCAGCAACACCGTATGAGAGGCTAGTTACTGCTAACTACGAAGTAGAATAGGAGTGACTCCGAACATATAGTTTCACGACCTCTAGTTGATACAACGTCGTTCTTAAGCATTTCAATATTTCCTCTCGATGCCCCAAACGAGGCCGTAGTTATAGGGTAGCACCCAAAGTCAACTATGCATGTTTCTTCATGTCCCGGGGTAGATCTGCACTTTTTATTACAAGTCAATCAATAAAGCCAGGATAGTATTATTAGAGCAACGTACATTAGATGTCTTAGATATGTACCTCACACCTATTCTGTCAAAGAGCTTCTTGAGGAAGCTCAACTTGCACCTGCGTTCCTGTAGCGTGTGCGGGTGGGGGTGCGGAAAAGGGGCCCATGCCCCAGCTCTTAGACAATCATCACACCCTCTAACTAACTTATGTGACATAAATTTGAACTTCATCACACATCCAGCTATATCCATATAATCAAACCAAAAATAATACACACATACCTAGAAACTCCGAACGGCGATATATCCCAAGAATAGGCTACCTAATGTGACCCAGAGGCTGGAGACCGCAAAGCCACCCTGGATATCACCTTTAGTGATAGACCAAGTAACCCCAAAGACGCCGCTTCCGGAAGCAATCAGAACAACTATGACGAAGTAAATGGATCTCCAGTGCCAACCCTCTTCAAAGTAGACTCCCCAGCCAAATTCAACCCGATCTTCGGGCGCTTGCAACTGCCCGCACGTCCGCTTGGGCAACTGATTATATATGAACTTCTGTGTCGGGCGGATGCAGTCGGGATGACTGAAATGATGCGATAGATATCGTGGGCCGATGGGAGGAACGTATTTGGGTTTGACCTCCGGCGCCGGGCGGCAATTGTACTCGGTCCCTATCTTGTCAACCGGGGGCAGACAGACACAGTCTGAGGTACAGACATGAGCGTGCCGGTGGACTTCAGCAAACTCGCTTGAATCGACCATGAACTTTTCTACGTCAGCTCAATATGGAAGATTGCTATGATAGGAGGACGTACCCTTGCCAGAGAGACTCCAGTAACGCTCCGGAGTGTAAGCCAGGAGGCCACTTTTCTGTATTTTAAGTATTCTTTCCGAAGGAAGAGTAAAAGCTCGCGATCAGAGGTAATGCCTGAGAGACGTTCTTGATGAAGTCTCAATCCGGTCTCGCCTGTGTGGATGCAAAATAGAACGTGCAGCAAGTCAAGCGATCGAAGGGGACTTGATGGACTGTTAAGGGAAGTAGTCTGGTGTAATGGCAAGGTACTATTATTTGCCGAACTCTGGTTTGTCGAAAATGCCCTACTCAGCGAGCCGAAAACCCGCTTGACACGTTCTATCATATCCTGCAGAATATAGGTATTCGTCCCCTTTTGAGGTGCTCCATTCTGAACTACTCCCTGCATTGAGTCCTGGAGCTCTTGCAGGGATCCTGGCTCTATCTCGACGAAATCATCGAAGAGTTTAGCACCGCATTCCTTGGAAAGAGATTAGGTATTCTGTCCATTTAAGTGTTGGTAGGGTGCCGATTTAACTTACACACGTCCATCTTATACGAGTCTGGCCAGGAGGAAGCTGCGGTTCGGAACGTAGGAATGAAACCCTGCCAAGCACAGAATCCAGGAGATGTGGGAGGATTGTGGGATATGTAAAAGTTGCACATTCTTGTTCATTTCTATGAGAATGCAGCTCTTCCTTTGGGCGACCATTGTCCTTCCAGGATCTGCGTAAGCTCCCCGTAAGGAGTTCCTTTTGTTTGTTGACTGTTAGTTTCCCGGAATTCGACCCCTTAAAATAATCGTTACTTATATTGATATCCGAATTGCTTCCTGATTCGATTTTATTGGTGACTGTCAGAATTAACACGACGACGAAAACAATAGATGTCATACACTTGATCAGATGTTTGTTATATGATGGGAGAAGTGGAACGAGAAGTCGGTTGACGCTACTCCATAGGCAGATCCATAGGACGATCCATAGGAAAATGAAGACGAGCATTTTATAGAGGACCAACAGAGAAGAATCTTGAACGGAAGACTCCGGCTTTTCATATAAGGGACCGGGTGCGGATACCATTTTGGTATACGATTCTGTTTCGACGGGCTTCGCCTCTGGATGTGATTGATTTAATATAGCTTGTCCTGTGTCCTGCCTCTTAGGACCGATCCCCAAAATAGGGAGAAATGAATTCCTAGCCAGTCTGTTCTTCTCTAGCCTCATTTCAACGGCTTTTCGACAATCATCGACGTGAACGATATGGCGCAACAGTTCTCGCTCCATATCTACGTCTTCCATATTGCCGATCGCCCCGTGGTGGAGAGCCGAGACATTACTAGCCAGAATAGCTGTGGTGATTCCGCACCAGTATGCCCGTTCTGCTGTTGAAATGCTAGGTCGCCCCCTGATCCATTTGTGGACTAAAGGCTGCATGCAATATCGATTTTCTCCCTCTTCTATCATAATGAGTGATCTCTGGAGAAGGACTTTTATCGCTTGATCAAGACGAATTCGTAATTTTTCTTCAAACTCATCTTCGTTGAGGCATTTGTCATTTCTTAGAACCAGAGGAAGGGGTGAGGGAGCCGACAGAGAAACTGAGTCAAAATATTGACTTAGTCGAGCAGTAACAGATTTTCGGAAGCACCCCAACCAATTCCCGTTATGTCCTGCTGCGTTCGTTTCTAACCCTTTTGTGGAATAGTTAAGGGCCGCATTAAGTAGAAAGTCAAAGTAGATATGCTCAAAATGCATATAAGATAATATGTTGAGGATTTCAAGCGCATCCTTAGAGCTTTGTTGCGTATCAACTTCCAGCGACAGATAGAGCATTTCGAACGGAGTGATAATGCTAATATACTCATCGCCTAGATAATCAGATCTCATAAGCTTATCATTTTCCCGAAGTTTCCTCCGATGAGAAATGATTAGGCTTGAATGACGCTTATGGAAGGCTAAGTAGTCGGTCAAAGAGCAGATACCATGCTTAACTGCATTACCAGCGGCGACCAGGGCCAATGGGGAGGACCCCACAGCTTTAGCTACCTCTTTAGCTGACTGCTTGTCGTTAACACTCCATGGGGTTGGGCACACGGCTGCCTTGAGGACAAGGTGAATGGCCTCCTCCTCTGCCATGTGCCGAACCCCTAAGTATCTCTTACCGGCAGTGCCGTAACGGTTATACCTGGGGCTGCGGGAGGTTATTAGAATACGCCCGTGCCGGCCTGTAGGGAGTATATCTTCAAAGTCAACCTCAAAGGTATTAGCATGGTCGATTATCAGTAGCCATGGTACGTTCTGTAGGGCCAACCACTTCTTAGCAGAGTCTTCGTTAGGCTCAATACCTACGGTCCTCGCAATATCCGAATAGCCCTCCGACGCACGCTTCCGAGAACTACCATCAATAAAGAAAACGCCCCAGAACAGTTGTCGGAAGTCTTCGGCATATTTTAACGCTAGCTCGGTCTTCCCCGAACCTCCCCTGCCGAAGAGTACAAATCTCTTTTGGCTAAAACATGCTCTATCCTCGAACGCGGCTTTAATCATAACCTCTTCCTCCCGCCTTGTGTAAATGCTTGAAGTGCGCCTTGGTATAATGAAATGCTTATGAATAGGGACTGGAATAGCACTTTCTGCAATAATTACGGCTCTCCGAAGCTGAGTTAAGCAGTCAGTTATGTGCTTTCATTAGAAAGTCCGTGACATACCTCGGCATTGTCAACAAAGTCAAGATGGGAAATTTTCGTTTCGGTCAAAGAGATACGGTTACGAAGTGTCGCTATAGTAGCGAGAGTCTCATGTGGTGTCGTATTTTCATTTGCTGTAATCGTATACGACAAAACGTCTATAACGGAGCATAAAAGACGGATCATCTCCATTCGAAGCTGTAGTTCCCTGCACCTTTTGGTAAGACCATTCTCTTCGTCGATATGTTCTAAGGCCGGAGTAGGTTCTCGACTCTCTCTGAGAAGTTTTAGGCGTAGTATAGACTCTTGAATGAGTATACCGCAAGCTTTATAGACCTTGTACAGTCGACCCGCATTATATTGCGGGAATTTAATATCATTTTCCGCCAGGTCATTGAGCGAAGAAGTGACGCTGCAGATATCATTCAACAGTAATGCCAGCGCATTTGGAGATTCCGATTCAGACTCCAGAGAATTGAATCCCGTCAGAGGCTCCCTAAGTTGTTGCACATGGTTCATTAAACCTGCAGTGTCGAGCTTCTTAGAAAGTGAGCGGCTCGTCAGGTCTAAGCCGGCCATTCTTCAGTATAATCGGTGATAGTGTGAGTATGTTAGCTAAGAAAAATAGGAAAAGTAGACGCTTAGGTATAAAATTTGTACGAAGTAGGCAAATGACCTTCGGCTTCAATTTATTTGGTAGCTTGGTTTTCGTAGCGGGCTATGCCAAGGTGGCTTTGCAAAGATAAGCAGGCTGGGGCTGAAATGAGGTGCTCTTGCATAGGGTACAAACCCATCCTTCGAGGTGAGAGTCAAGTGAACCCTTCCATACTCGACTTTTTTCCATCTCATCAAAATCCTCAGCAAGCGCCACGGTGAATAAATATAACTATCACGCGAAGAGTTGCAAACTTTCTTCATCAGATCTTTATAAAACTTGATGTAGTACCATCGCTTAAGTTAATGAGTGAATTATGTTAGCAGTATTTCGGGTATGAGAGTGTTTGCGCTTTATTCTGGATAGTTACCCTAAGCCGTGCATCGTTTGCTCCGTCGATCCCCCGGAAGATTTGTGGTGCCTTGAGTGGATATTCGTCGCATTTTCTATGCACGTCGACATCGTGACATCAGGATATCAGATGCAACTGCTTTTCTTGCCATGTTACTTAGACGATGGGAAGTAATATAAATAGCAGCTTCCCTGAAAAGGTTATTGATTCTGCCCTTACTTATTTCTGCTCTGCGAAGAAATTCTACCACAGATTGCCCCGCAACGAATCTAACTTCCCTCAATCTACTATTCACTACAACACATCGTCAAGTTAGCATCAATCCCGCTAGCATACTACCTGAAGAGAAGACTAGTCGACCATAGCCAACACAATGCGCTTGTCAACAACTTTCAATTTGGCCGCCATGGCTGTTCCCGTATTCCTCCAATCAGTATCAGGATGGTCCTTCACTATGTATGATACTGAGGACTGTAGCAACTCGACAAACTCGGACGCGGTCGCAGATAGAGTAGAACGACAAGGCGATGTCGATTGCGACGTAGTCCTAAATGCGGACCAGCATAAGTCGGTCCTAGGTGGAGTCCCGGCTGGAAGCGAGTGCCGCATTTCATTCTATCCCGTCAAGGATTGCGGAGGCAGAGTCGCGTTTAGCTTGACACAAGACACTACGTCTTGTCTTTCCATCGAGGACCTTGTTGCACCACTGGCATATTATAGCGCTACGAACTGCGCATCATAAACCAACTTTGAGTACACATGAAGAAAGTTGAAGAAGTAGGAGGAAAGACAAGTAAAAGATTATGTCGAGGAAATGGTCTGAATTCAAGAACGTTGAGAGAAAAACAATAGAAACGGTAACTAAAGTCGTGTACTCCGTATCTTTACCTTATTACTTGTTAATGTATTCCGTATTTCGTATTCCGTATTGCGATCACCGTCACAATTGTGTAATCGGTTACCCCACTGCGAAATAGGGGTTATCTACGGTGGCATATTAGTGCGCAACCGACAAAACAAAAAAGCGGATGAAAATTCGTCCGACTTGGCACTCGCACTATAATTACAGCACCTACATA